AGACAGATCTTCAATATATGATACTCAACTGAGCACCCTACTTCACTATGAACCCCAGCAGCAAGCCCATAATAATAAAGCTCAATGCAAGGCAGGCTCTGCAATGCCATAGTCATACCTACACCAGGGACCAACCCTCCAGGCCTACCTACCACCAAGTCAAAAGCCACAGACACATGCTCCATAGCAAACCAGGTTCCAAACATGCATACTAGGCTGTTGCTACCACCCCACACTCCAGGTCTGTACCTGTGACACACCAGATCCCACAGTCCCAGGCTATAGGTTAGTGCTGGTGCTAGTCCTTCCCCTGTGGCCCAAGATATAAGGCCCACCCCAGTACCTGGCCAAATCTTGCAACCTGAGACTGCAGACTAGCCTGGGTCAGTCTGGTACCTAAAGACCCAGGCTCTAAGATTGCTACCACAAATACCTATTTCCCTAGGACCCTGGCCATTCCTCATGCTCCTATGTGCTACAAGAATCAAAGCCAGGTCCCTCTAATAGATCCAAGGAATGAGCAAATTGTAAGAGTCCCTGATTCCCAGAAGTCTCCATGAACTCTGGTTCTAGAACTGCCACAATCACCCAACCTTCTTGCCTTGCTCCCAGCTTCCGGCTGGTTCCTGTGGCCACATGTGTCATGCTGGAACACAAAGCCCCAGGTTCCAGGTCAATTCTAATGGAAGATAGTGTCCAGGCCAGTGTCCAAAGACCCAGGCTGAGAGAAAGCCCTGTAGCCAAAGCACCAGCCCAGCATCCACAGACTAGGCTTCAGACTGGCCTTCAAGAACAAAGATGAAGTCTCACTCTTGACCAGGCTACCCCCAAGCTCCAGTGCAACCATGACACAACCCATACCAATAACCCCTGGTGGCAGAGAGGCCCATACATTCAGGCTCCACAAATGCCTTATACTTGACCCTGCAAACTCCAGCTCTGGTCCTATTCCAACACCAGGCCAAACTCAGTGGCATCAAGCTTTAGCCCTGTTCCTACAGACCCAGGTGACAGGACCATAAAAACCAACAAAAGCCTGGTTTAATAAAATATCACTGTGCTCTAGTATGTCTAAATAATGCTAATAATAAAATATTTATCGACAACAAAACATTTCCTTGGTCTAATTTCTAAACAATGGATGAAATCACTAGAGATTTATTATATAAGCAAGCTTTGTATAGCACACTTTTATGAATAAACATTAGACTGTATATAGACATAAATTTAAAGAACTGCCAGTTAACAATAGTATCTGACAAAAACAGACTCCAGAGAGTGGTTCTGAATTGTTCAAGCTCAGTTTGGGTACAATTTCATATCTCTAGGTTTAAACTATACTTTCAACATTGACAATAACAGTATAGTGCAAATCCCTATGTTTTGGAGTAGGGCTTAACATACTCCTTTTATTAATTTTCTGCTGCTGACACACTACAGGTTAAGTGGCTTAAAACTTAAAAGCTGTTGCAGTTTTCCCTTTTGGAAATGCAAAAACTTGACTGGCTTTTGCCTGCCTCCAAAAGATGTCATGATCAGTACCTGGAATAATGGCACACACTGAATAAAGCATATAAATTTACACATCTCCCAAATGATTCAGAGTAAGTCCTTAAATCTCAAACTTCCAAGCCTCTAACTACAACCTTATTACTTACTAATAAGCCCCTTTCTCCAGTTTCCAGTAGCATATGCTCTGGGCAGCAGCATCCTTTGAGTCTATCTTTCTACTGATGTCTACTCACAGCTGCTGAGTTTTTCTCTATTACCAGAAAAGTCTTCCACCTTCCTTCCACCCTGCCTGATTCCAGGATCAGTGTAGCTATTTCTTAGCTTTTAGTGCTGCACTTCCAGTACCAAAGCATATAGACTTTCAGTGCTCTTGTAGCAAATTACTACATAATAAGTGGCCCTCAACAACATTCATTTAGCTCCTAACCCTGTGGTCAGGAGGTTCAACTTAATGGTCCTCTGCTCAGGATCTTTCAGGGCTGAAATCTATATCAATCTCATCTGAGGCTCAAAGTTCTCTACAAGTTCACTCGCAGGCAGAATTCAGTTCACTTCCATCAGCAATAAAATTCCTTTTTTTTTTTTTTTTGGTACTGGGAATCAAACATAAGACCTTGGGCTTGCCAGGCAGGACCTTGTGCTGAGCTATATCCACAACTTTGATCCCATTTTCTTGCTTGATGCCAGAAAGAAAACAAACTCAGAAGCTTGGAGGGACACCCTTGGGTCCTTGCCGCATGGCCACGTCCTCCAACAGGGTTGTCACTTTCCACCAGGTCAACAGGATGGTATCTGATTCTGCTACTTGAATCTTTTAAGGACTCACTTGGTTAGGTCAGATCCATCCAGGATCATCTCCCATCTAATTAACTCAGGATCCAACTATCTGCAACCTTAATTACAAGAATTAATTTCCTTCATATTCTCAAGATACATCTGCAGTGAACAGGCAGGGCTTGTGTGTCAAGGGGTGGGAATGTTGGGGCTACCTTACAAATCACTTATGGTATTAGAATCCCTTTATGTCCACTGCTACCCCTCTAACCTGGGAGGTTGCCTCGAATTGCTGGCTTTCACTGTGCAGCCAAACTGTTCTGTGTACTTAAGACTTTGTTCTTCCTCACCCTGAAACAATGTGTATGGATGTGTATGTTTATGGTTACTTAACAATGTTAAGGACTAAGGAGTATGAACACAATAAAGGAAGTTCTTGATAACAAAATCTGCCTAGTGTGAAGTACCAGACATTCTTCTACCTCCTCAGAAACACATTTTTATGAAACAAAAATTCCAACAAATGTGTCAAATAGTGTTAAGAATTTATCAAAGAAAATTCACACTGAAAGCCTTCTGCTTGGTACATAAATGTTACTGCTGTCTGTGTGTGGTGCTAGCTCAACTCTAACCTGGAACACAACCTATAAAGTAATTGTGCTTTTCTCCTATGTTCACTGCAGAAAAAGAAAGCGCATTTCCCCTTCTATGCTCTGGGAAATCCATTTTTTTTTTTTTCATAATTAATGCTTTATTCAACAATTCTTTTTTTATTGCATATAAAAGGTAATTTTTTTTCTTTTCAAAGTTTTATTGATAAACATATAGCAATGAGAAAGTTTCAAATCAAATCAAAAGTACAGTTTCTACAAATAATACACTGCATATATCCTTCTTAGTGGTTAATTGCTGTACAAGATGCAGACTTGTGATCCTACTTACAAACACCATTAGAAAAAATCATTCCATTCATTAAGAGAATGCAACTATATATCTATCCTGACCACTTTGAGTACACAGATACAAAATGGACATTCATAGTTATACCCCAATTTTTTTTAAGTTCCATTGTTGAATATTATAGGTGTGTAAACTCAGCAAAATATTCTAAAAGAGTCCAGTAGCCCACAATAGCATTGGGTCTTCTGTTTAACTGGCAATGTCAGAAATTATTGACCTGAGTCCCCCACAGCTCAACATAACAACATGGCTTTACTTCCTATATTTCATCTTCATACTTTTCTACTGGATGGTTAAGACCAAGGTAAAGCAGGACCTGTGCAACAAGAGTTGTAGCTTTTTGGTCTGATAAGGTCAGTGAAATGCCCTCAGGATTTATCCTGAGATCCTGTACCTCAGATTGTAGAACCTTTGTCAGTGTCAGCCATGTGGATGAGTCACGGCCAATGCTTGGCCTATGTGCTCTCTGTGAAAGCCTGAGAGTGTCTTCTCCCCATGTGACTCTCCTTAGGCACACTCTACGTCATTGATCACTTTCCTCTTTGGCCCTATTATCTTCTTGATCAGAAAATTTGGGACACTACCGAGGTACATGACGTTACAGTACACGTTCTCATATGTCCTGAGTCTTAATTGACCTTAGAAGGCTAGGGCCAAAATGTTGGCTTTCCTTGTAGCCCTCCTTTTTCTCTAATTTTTGTCTGCAAACTTAGGTTGTTAACCATCCAGAAGACAAGCTTATTGTTATTATCAAACGATTTAGGCTATCAAGCTTAACCTCACTATCTCACTGCATTTCAAACATTTTAGGCATAATAAGGAACAGGTATTTTTCATCAAGTATTGATATGTTGAACCTTAAGTCCCTACATAATATGATAAAGAACATCTAAAAATTAGATTATATTTTAAAAATAGGATAAAGAATTCTATGCTTCTCATGTTTGCACATAAGTCCAAAAATCTCACCATATACAACCTTGAAGCAGGGGGAAATCCATTCTTGCATGATTGCCTTATGGTTAGACTTGGAAAAGTACTAACTATATTTATGACAAACAATGTGGTTTCCTGTAATCACAGCAGTCAAGTCTAATATGTCTATGGGGACATACAAAGAAACCTTTACATACATATGAAGGAACACGAAGCATGTGGCCTGAACAGTCATTAGATGAGGAAACCACTCTCCTCTCTTACAAAACCAATGTTTAATCCTGGAGTCCAATAAAATATTTAAAACTATTACAGTTTACTATATAAATATATGTGTTATTGTCCATAGCATTATAAAAGGGAAGTCACTACCAGGTTTCACATTTTATTGTTATTTTTGTTTGGTAGCTTTCAGAGAAGAACCTGGCTATCAAAAGAGAGGTACAGAAATAGGTCTAGGTCTTCTCTTCTACCATGACACAGCTGCCTTCTGTATTCTGACAGGTTCAGCCTACTGATGCTGTCCCCACAGAGTACTTATCAGGTTTGTCACATATACCAAACAGACCAGAAAGCTACAGCACTTCAAGGATAAGAATCATCTGTTATATAAAGAATTCTAAGCCTAGGATCAGGGAAACTTAACAGTCTGAGAGAACTTCACTATGGCTAAAACTGAGAAGCATTAGAAACAAATATCGATCATTTTACATAAGATTTACAATCATTTTACATGAAATTATAGATTCAAAGTGTCTAATAACATCAAATATGTCTCAGATGCCACAGATATATATAATCTTAAGAACCAAGAGCAATTCATTTACAAAGATTTTTACTTGGCCGGGAGTTGAGTCAAGAAACAACACATCAAGTAACAATTAACGAAGACCTGACTGGTAGTCTTCCGAGTCATTTCATACAAAGGAATCACCAGAGCAGCTCCTGATTCTCAGGCTAGCCAGATGATCTTTGAGTGTCCTGCCACTGACCAGGACATACATTTTACCAGAGGGGTCTGGGCAAGGAGCACCATGCAACAGCCCCATTTGAGTCTCAGCATCCAGCCTCCTAGGCCCTGTCTACCTTATACAGATTCTTCACAGCTGTGGATGATGCGTCAGCTTCTTTCTTTTTTTTTCTCCGCCTTTGTCACTTTTCCTTTTGTCCTCCTCTGGTGACTCCTTCTTTTTCTCCTCTACTATCTCCTCCTTTCTTTACTTTCTCTTCTTCTCCTCCACTGTCAGCTCCTTCCATTACTCCATGTTCTCCTCCATTGGCTCCCTTCACTTCTTCTTTGTCATGAATACTGATATAAACCGCTTTGTTACAGCCTTCTCGGTTCCGAGCAATTTCAATGGCAAAAAACTGTATCCTGGGGGCTGGAAGGTGAATAGAACTGATTATTGTCCTCCTCCAATAATTCCTTAAGGCTACTATAAACCTATACATAATGTTGAACTAATATAGAAACCATTCAAATATAGGCATATAAGCTTCAGAACATGAAATTTACTTTCATGTTAATGACAATGAAAATATCTATCATACAGTTACTTATAAGCAACATGATCTGTAAAGACACAAACATAAATAACAGCCACCCTAAATTTGTATTTCAGTGCTTACTCACAAAAACCAGAGCCCACACTCACTCTGCATGCACAGAAGCATTCCCAGAGGCAGAAAGCTCACCAAAGATTGTATTTTCTTCTGTGTAGCCCTGAGAACAATCCAGCCGCAACAAGGTACCATAGTTGTAGTCTTCTACAATACCGTCAAACTTCAGGCAGAATGGCCTCCACTTCTACAAAGGCAGAAAGAAAAACATACTTTAGCAGACAAATACTACAACCTGGGCTCTTCATCGAGAGGAGGGTTTTTCTCTGCCCCTGTGACAAAAATAACCACCACTGAGGGGAAGGCTAATTTCACACTCAAACTACTACCAAGTTTCTGTGCTATATATTCTGCCTCCTATCAGACTGCTATCTTCCTCCATGAACAGTATTTTAACCTGAAATAAAGGACTTAGATCTTTTACAAAAGAATTAAGAGGAGGGCCGTGGAGATGGCTCAGTGGAATAAACCCTTCTCTGGCAAGTGCAAGGGCCGGAGTTTAATCCCTGGTTCTGCAAAACAAAACAAACAACAAAAAAAAAATTAAGATATAGCTTGTTAAGTAGATTTTGTTTTGTTTTGAAGTTATTGGGCAACTCAGTCCAAACTTAATGTTCTTACTCACTAATGCATAGATCGGACAAAGAAGACAGCAATTTGGATCTTACTCATCAAGTTAGATCTTAAAAAGAAAAGGCCATTCAGAAGCAGCAGTTTCCCAAAGATCAGTGACAGTTAGGCAAGAGACAAAAGTTCAAAATCTTTTCTAGCCAAGGGCCCATGCTAACAGAAAAAAAAACTACCTAATTATTAATTAGTGTTCTGGGTTATTATAAGACAATCACATAAGCAATGAGAAACAAACCTTCACAGCTGTCTATAGCTTAAGATTGTTCCTGCACTTCAATCCAGAGAACAAAATACCTCTTATGTTCTCTGCCACTCCCCAGTTCCAAGCTTTTTAAATAAAATACCTATGTAAGTAAATGGATTCCTGCTAGCTCTCTGCAAGGGCAGCGTGAGTCAGATTTCAAAATGTCCCAGTCAAACAGGAAAAAAAAAATAAACTCAATAATATAAGTATCCACAAACCAAAAAGAGATTCATTTCATAATTCATTTAGTTAATTAGAACCAGAAAAAGTCCTGGTTCTTTATATATTTTCCTTAAAACAACTTTCAAAGGAGTTCAATTATATTAAAATATACTCAGAATCCAAAATTGACGAGATGATAGCCTATGTCTGACAGAATTCTTATTACCTCTTTAGCTGATTCTGATTTCAGTTCTTCTGGGTCCAACACATCTACTTTGAGTTTCTCAAAATGCTCCCGAAATTCAGAGTAGATCTGATCATCCACTTTTGTGAGTTTCAGGAACTGCGGGTCAACTGATGAAATCAGCTGCCAGAGAGTAGAACCACATACAGATGCTCAGCTCTGATTTTCCACATTTCTATCCCACAACCTCACTCACCATGAACCCTAGGGTTCTCAAGGCAGAAGTTTTCATTAGGAAGTTTAAACAGCCTATGCCTGGCAGGAAATCAGGATGAAGTTGGAAAAGTCTAGAATCCATTGAAGTGCCTTCCACCAATCTGGCGAATGGCCTACTTGGCCCTGGTACTGTTTGGCTATGGCTCTCTGATTGTTCTTTCTTTCGACAAATATTCATTAACTATCCACTGTGTGGACCTAGGCAATTTTTTGCCTGGTAGCAACAAAACACTGGGCACAGCCGCACAAATCTTCATTCTCATAACAAATTCAATTCTTCCCCAATCCCTGCTCTGCACATAAGATTTATACTAATGAAAACTACCTAAAAAAACATAACTACCAAACTTGCTGGTAACCATGCTTAACACAGCACAAAACACTAAAATTATATACTTCATTCTGCTTAAAAATGAAGACAGACAACTCACCTTATAATACACTTCAGCATGCTGCATTGCTCTCATAGCCCAGGCCATCTCAATATCTGGCTGCAAAGGAGTGAAGAACACCAGGTCAGTAATCTCCCAGTGCTGCTCCTGGGTGACAAACTACGAAGTCTTTGGATTTCTGGTTAATGCTCAAAAGGGTTACCAACATTGCTGTTACCGTCAAAGGATAAAACCTGTACTAACATAATTCAATAATACACTATTCTTTTTTATGACAATCAAAAGAACATATTTACACAGCATAATAAACAGACTGACCCACTGTTATCTTTTCTCAGCAACTAGTCAAAAGTGAGGGACTAATAGGGACTACATAAATCAGTAGATAAATTGGCTTCTCAGGACTAAATCAAATCATTGTAATCGGTAATTAACATATCCACTTATACCACTGAGTTGTTGGGATGACAAAGATAATGAACATGAAACCATTTTTTACGTTTGCATGTAGTATTTCACAATCACCATTTGTGTTTATTATATAGTCCCCTCCTGAGCCTGTAAGGCCTAAAACTGAAAGAGTTTCAGGAAGCATGCCCTGTTATAAGTAAGTCTTACTAATATCTCCTGTTCCTGTGGACTCTCCCACTACATAACGGATGGATGGATCCACTTCACACACTTCAGAAAATTGGGCCAGGGAGATAGCTCAGTGGAATAAGCACTTCCCTGGCAAGTGCCAAGGGCCTGAGTTCAATCCCCAGTTCCAAAAAAAAAAAAAACCTTCAGAAAAGCTATTTGAATTTTTCCCTCCATGCCTGAACCATGCATGAACTTCACCTACCAGCAAATCCATGTCCACTGTCCACTTACATTTTAAGGATCCAGTTCAACCTCCAGTTCCTCAGGAAAGCCCACTGCCTCCATGCTTAGAGGATCTATGCCCTGACCCACTGATCAAGTATGCATTACAATCTTAGGTGGTTCTTGCTATAATTTTCAACATCTTTTTCTTTCTCAAATTGCATCATATGCCTTCTCCAGAAAGGGCTAAACCAGGGACCCTGCATACTGGGGCTGTACAATGGAATCATCTGGGGATATTTGAAAAATATTCAGGCTCGACTCTTATCTTCCTTATGTTCTGAACTAAACATAATTATCTGACATAGACTGTAATCCAAACAGAAGGTTGGGAGGTCTTTAAAAGCCGCCAAGGGGATTCTAAAGCATTCAACAGTGAGGGGCCCATTCCGAGGTTCACACCGCCTAGTACTGTGATCGCTAGCTAACCAAGATTGGTATAAACTGAATCAAGGTGAAGATCTGGGCGGACACGCACGGCGCCTGAAGAAGACATCGGGGGAAGGGGCGCATAACTTAATGGCAGGCCCGCGAAGCTCTCGGGCTAGCTGTGCGGATGGGAGTTTTGGGTGAGTCATACTCACATCGTTGCCATAAGACTCCGCTGGGAGAGACAGAGCATTTGCCACAGACGCCGCCTCCCTGGAAACCTGGGGAGAAAAACGCGGGGACAGGGCGACAATTCAAGACTCTAATCCTCTCGACTTTTCTACTTGCCCAACCCCAGTGCAGCGCCTCACCGGCTCATCCATGCCACAGGTTCCCTCCATGTTGCAGACAAAAAAAGTGTGGCTTCACCTGACCGGAAGTTTTTTTGTATTTTTTTTAAAGCTCTACCATTTCTCAGCTTTTGATTGGAAGTGGAGCTGGCCGGGTGGAGGCGTTCTAAGCTTCTGCGCCTGCGCGTGACCTCTACCCCGGAAATACCTACTGGGCCCGCCTCTCATTCCCTGCAATTCTGTGGGGGTGGGGTTGTGCTTTGGAGTCAGAGCTGTGGGTGGATGCTGAGGTTTGGGCTTTTCTTTTTTATTTTTTTTTTTTGAGCAGAATATATTTATTGAGGGAAAGAAAGCCCCTCTCACAGAGAGGGACAGGAGGGGTCCCGAGCAGGTTGTCCCCGGGAAGCTGTCTCTTCCCGGGACTTTTATAGAAGAAGGCGGGTCTAAGGTGGTGGAGAACATATGGGAACTGGCTTAGTTGGGCATGAGGTGGGACAAAACTTTGGTCAGCCAATGAGATTACAAGCACCACTGCTTAGATAAAATTGATTAAATCCAGTATTAAATGAAGAAGCAAGTCATGTAGCATGCGGGCATGAATACGGGACAGGGTCTCTTCCTGTTGGGGGTTGGGTTAATGGCTCATTTGGGATCTTTCAAGGCGATTGATACCTATTTATAATAACAATCCCCAGGGCTCCTCTATAGGAATGTATGTAGCTGTATTTGTTTTCTCTTTGGTCTTAAGGTATGGCCCAGGAGGGAGTGTCTGTCTCTTCCAAGTTGCAAAGCCACCTTGCCTTCCATCTTGTCTCCTTGAGGACTTGGCCCTGTCTGACTACCTATAATATTTCTTTTTTTTTCTTTGTTTCTTTCTTTTCTTTTCTTTTCTTTTTTTATTTTATTTATTTATTTATTTATTTTTGTAGAACTGGGGATTGAACTCAGGCCCTTGCACTTACCAGGGAAGTGCTTATTCTACTGAGCCATCTCCTCAGCCCCTAATATTTCTATCTAATTCATCAGAGGTTCTATCTAAAGGCCCTCAATAGACACCAGGCATTTTTATCTTGGGTAGACATATAGCTTTGAATCTGTAGAAGACAAAGCTGAAGAAACTTTTAAACATGCATATGCTAAATAATAAGATCAGCAGTATAATTATGAATATATTCAAAAATGATTTTTACCAAGGAGACAGTAATGACTTCCCATAAAAATAATAAAGATAAGGTCCAGGGGACTCCGGCATCTGAAAACACTAGTTAGAAATTTTTGTAGGTCAATTGGCAGAGATCTCTTAAATGTGAGGTTTAATCCCTTTTTTGTTTTCCATGGCCATTGCATATTGTCTTAAACCAGCTGGCCTTTTATATCTCATCAATTTTATTATTACTTGGGGCACATGAATTGCCAGAAATAGGGAAGGCACCAAGTACTCTCCAGTTTGCAAGTGGGGCCACTATCTGGGTAACTACTGACACATCTGCATGGGCATCAATTAAAAGTCTAACAGGCTTTTTCCTTATATTGGCAGTTAACATGGATAACTATAGGCTGAGAGGTGAAGACCCATGATCTTATCAATCTGAAACTTGATTCCATCATTCTCTAGCAACTTTGGACATTTTTTGCTTGAAATGTTCCTTCTCTCTGTGTGGATTCAGAGCAGCATAACATTTTTCTGTTTTTTCACTGGCCTTTGTTCCCATAGGATGCTAGTATTACTATTCTCATTTTCCATATATAATTCCATCCTGTTCCTTTTTGTCTCAACTCAGACAAATTCATTTCTGTAAATCCTAACATTTGCAGCTTGTGTCAGACACCAGGGGCCCACTGAGCAATGTGTAACTTTAGTTTTCAGGCCTTGATATGTGTCTCTACAGACAAAATCTGGTGTATCCCAGTTAAAGGAATCTTAATCTAGCATATTTGTTGTAGATTTTACCTGCATGATTACATAGGTTTTGGTATCTTCCAGGAAAGAACAAATTTTCTGAGAAATTAGAGCACATATAATCAAAGTATGAAATTTGAGCTAACAGGTACATTTATAAACTTTTTTGAGACTTAGCAATTGAAACTCACTAGTTCTTAGACCCCTTTATTTATTTATTTATTTATTTATGTGTGTGTGTATGTTTGTGTGTGTGTGTGTGTGTGTGTGTGTGGCCTGCTCAGCCCACCAGGGGGCAGGGCTGGCTGGCATGTGGTGCTGGGGGATTGAACCGCGGTCCCTGTGCTTTGCTAAGCTTGTTCTAAGTAGGTGCTTTAGACCACTGAGCCATCGCACCAGCCCCTAGACCCCTTTATTTATGAAGTTTGACAGTTTGTTATAAGTCTCTCTAGCTATACTGAAAGAGAAGTCATACTTGTATTTACTATGAACATGAAATACCTAAGTTACATCAGAAATCAACCAGATTAACTTATACATGTATCATGAAATACACAGCATTCATTCAGATTAAACCAATGAGATAACTTTTAAGTCCTTGTACAGGAACAACAATATATTACATTCGTAAAAACTAGTCTTACCATAATTATGATTAGTAAGCAACCTGAATATATACTGTAGTATCTCAATTACAGCTGAAGCAAGATGTCTTCTAAAGTCTGTTTTTATTGAGGTACGATGATTGGAAGGAAAGCCAGGGCTTGAGAAGGATAAAGAGACCTGTGCCAATATCCAAAAATAAGCTACGTTTCTTTTCCCTCTATAGTCATGATTACTCAGGGCTCCTCTGTGGAGATGGCAGGTAGAGATAACAGTCTGGCCAGAGGGAAGTGGCAAGCCCAGGGCCCTTTAGTCCTACTGGACCACCTGGGAAGCTGAGTCTGAACTCTGGGGCCTCCACCCCAGAGAGCATTCTCACTTCCGGTGGCTGCCTTGGCAGGCAGAGCATGGCTTGGGGCCTCTTAAGGCAGTCCCTCTTACAGTGGCCTGGCTTCTGACAATAGCAAACGAACCTCATTGTTATTGAGCTCTTCTTGGACCCAAGAGAATCAGACTTAGGGTCTGTTTTGAGGCCACATCAAAGGCAGCTATTTTTTAATCTCTTTGCTTTTTCTCCCTGGTTTTCTGTCAGTTCTGATTATAAGATGCTTAAACAGTTTTTTACCAAAGTATCAAATGAGTTGTCTGGAGCAAAAGCTATCTTTTGCAGCTCATGAACTTATCTGTAAGAGTAATCTGTCCCTCTATTTAATTAGCATCTCAGGAAGTATGCCTTACCAGTGCCTCTATTAAACATTACAAGAAATCAGAGGTGTGTTCCTCTTTCTCCTGGTAAATAGCTAAAATTTAAAATATCTAGAAGGCTACATTCTAGTTCTTAGACCTTCAAGAATACACACTTGAATGAAAATGTCTTTTCCAGGCTCCTGCCCTGCTTTTAGGCCAGCAGGGCTCTGACTGCTTGGGCTCCCAGTGAGAACAGGTAGTTCCACTGGTTGTCTATCTTTTGAATCTTTAAAATTAACAATATATTTTTCTCCAAATGCAGTAGCAGCTTGTAATGCTTCCTGTATTTCCATAGAAGTCAAAGCTTCTTTTTAAGATTAGGATTACATTTCTCTAATCTAGTTTATAAGTCTGAGTAAATTGTCTAAAGACATCAGTCTACTTATCAGGGTCATCTAAGGCATATGAATTCTGGAAGTTTTAAATTGCATATTTACTTTTTTAAAAAGTATTATCCTTGAAAAGCTTACCTTGATTTAGCTAAGAATGGTTATAGCCCTGTAGAGGCCTTGATTACAGCTGTTCTAAAAGTCCATACCCTCTAGACTAGAAAGGCTAATAGGGGAAACCTTACTTTTTGTAATGGTAGGTGACGCTAAACTGCCTGGTTCTACTGTTGCTCACGTCTACACTTCAAAGCTTAAATAACAATAACCTATTTAAAGAAAACAAAATCTGAACATAGGATATTTTTACCATTTTCCTTTTCACATCATCTTTCTAGTCATAAAATAGCATCATAATTGATACTTTCCTCTGTGTTCCATTTGGATTAAGTGGCTCTTTTTCAGTATATAAGGATCAAACATCTTCCGGAGCCTAATGAAGCACATGATAAAGGAGTAAAAGACTTTGACTGTGAGATAACCTGGAATTCAATAGAAATTAATTACCTTTTTTGATTATTAGATAATTGCTATCATCTAATAATCCCATTTTACATGTTGGTAGAAAGCACAATACAGCTGGCAAAAATTTTCATACTTTGTTAAGAAAGATACCCCCACTTTCTCTCTAATTGATTCCTCCCCCAAGTGTCCCTGAGTATCCCTCTCCAGAGCAGGTGGATGCTCCTGTTTGAGAGAAGGGAGAAAAGATTCAACCAGCCTATCCATGCTTGCACTGGTGCAAAATTCTTATCACCTGAATATCTCACAAACACTTCACTTACTCTTATTGACTATTTGTAAGTTAACAGTTACAATTGGTCCAGTGACAGGAATGTGTACAGAAGGAAGCATAACTATGGCATAAAAGGTCAATTGGAAGTTAGCAATTCTCAGGCTATAAAGAACACTTCTAGAGATAGATAGAACAAATGACTGGAGGGATTTGACCCCATGAACTGAGCCAAGTTTCCAGGCACTTGTTTTCCATCTAATCACCTAGGTAAATGTTTTTAGCAACTAGACAAGATTTAACCTTGAACCTCACAGGTGAATCATCTAAACATTGTTAAATGATTGCTATCATCTAATAATCCCATTTTACATGTTGGTAGAAACCACAATACAGCTGGCAAAAATTTCATACTTTGTTAACATAAAAGGCACAGATGTAAACTTCCCCTTGATAACTGCCATAGAATGTAAACTATTACAAGCTGCCTCAGCCCAATTTCTGAAATAGTGACTCATTAAGTTGTTCTACTGAAAAGCTCAGGTATAATTTCTGCCTTATTAGCAGAGAAAAGAAAAAGTACAATAGGTAAATGGAGATCTGTTAGTCATCAGGAGCCAATATCCACGAAGGAACCTTTGGGTATGGCCATAACCCCTCAGGTGTTCTCAGTTTCTATTGGCTCACACAACCAGAGATGTCTGCAGAAAGATATACAGCAGTTTC